TGATCTGGGTTGGTTAGCCGGCGCCTTGTAAACAACGCGGAAACTTTGGCTGGGTATCACGTTTCGTGCAGTGTCAGCTCAGTGTTGTACTACGGAGCTGGTTATCATCCTCCTAGTTCCAGAAGCTAGCCAGGGTGGATTGTGTTCCTTCATTCTTTGGCCGAGTTGCCTAGTCGCGCGTCCGATGTATTCCGCTGCACAGAAGCAAGAGAATGAGTAAACTAACATTTTGGGTGTGGACAGGCACTCTATCCTTGAGATTAAAGGGGCACAAACGATTGCTGATGAACCAAGTCCGGAGTTTTGTCGGGGAATCCCCGACAAATTTATTACAAAACATTTGAACAGGGAGGAAGCAAACACCATCACAGCCACAGTTGGAAGGAAACCAGTTTACATTAGCCTCCCGTTTAAGAGAGATATACCGGCCGATCTACTGAACAGAAGACTTTCCACCAGTCTGAACAAAGTTTTCCCGGCCGCAAAACTCCGAACCTGGTTCACCAGCAATCGTTCAAGTTCACAAGTCGTACAAGTTTCTTTTAGCCGCAAAGTTGTTGGTCCAGCACCTGGATTCCGGTGGCCTCTGCGATCGAAACTAGTCTGGATTGTAACAGTCGTGATCAGTTCAGGAATACCCGGTATATTACAGCAAATGCTTGCTCCTCGTCGATAACATGACTGGTTTCGGCCAAGTTTAGTGCAATTTCACTTAAACCTGTTTCTTCCAACTATCAATCACAGACACGGGACTGTGTTCTCGCATTCCCTCCGACAAATACTTTGGCGTACGACCAATGTATGATGCTCGGAATGAGCATACGAATGAGTACACACTAAACCTTTTGGTTGAACGTGCCCATTTATCCTTCAAACAGAATAGAAAGACTGGAATTAAAGCTCAAACAGATTAACAGCCATTTATGTCGTATCAACAGATTTTCTAAGCATTCTGGTAATTAGTTCAGCAACCGAGTCACCTTTGAACTAAGGCGTCTCTTTTGAATCGTAATGACGCACTGATAGGATATAGGCAATGGGATCTGTAGCGACCCAGTCACCCACACACTTGACTGTTCAGCCCACAGTCGCTCACTGGATCACGAGACTTGTCTTATTTTCATGCCCACAACCGCGTCACATTAAGGTGACTCATCAGACGTCCATTGTCTGCACCGTCTAATGAGCAGACGGTGCTGACGCGCAAACGGACCTACATATAGGGAAACCGAACGCAGTCAGCACACAGACTCGCGCGCGCGCAGGGAGCAAGGAGTCAGCCAAACACTCCCAGTCCACGGACAACTATGGAATACGTGTAGCAGCCAAACTGCGGAGGAAACACGTTCCCACCGTCCGGACTTTCACCAAGGGACTCCCACATCCGATAAGTTCCCCTTTTTTGACTCACTCCCATTTCGCACTGTATTTATTTTTATACGTGTCGCAACCATACTAAAACTTCTATTAGTGCACATACTTCTGACTTGTATTATGGTCATCATCAGCTGTGCACTAATAGATCCTTGTCTCTAATCAACTACACGTATTCCTTTCGATACAATGATTGTTTGTGTGTTAGGGCGGGTGAACAAGTGTCGGGTCGATAGGGAAGCTACATGTGTTTGGGTCCAGCCTAGGGTCTAGTTCTTCTGGTTCGGTTCATTTGATGGTCCCTTTCGAACGTTGTTTGAACCTTCTGTCCGTCTGCGTGGCTGATGTTTGTGTAAGAGGAATGCTGTGACCTTTGGTCGGGTTGGAATTTCCACCCCTACCCCCAGTTTTCGCTAATCATTCTACGTGGATTGAAAACCACACAGCCACGTGTCAACTCGGCCTATCTAAGACTACCCTCCATACTCTCGCCTGTTACACCCCGTCAATTTTCTTCACGCTGTGATGCTTGGTAATTTCCGCCGCCTCGCCTATCAGCCGCTGTGGTGTGAATCGCAGTCCTCGAATTAAAACCTCCACATTCTCCAGATCTATTCTATGTCCCGTGTCTAAGGCATGTACCGCCACTGCTGATCCTTTGACCAGCGTTTGGTATTCTTCCGCATTCCTTGGTGGTTTGCTTATCCTTCCTTTATGCTCACCAATTCTGGTGTGCAATTCCCTGGCAGTTTGTCCTATGGAAACCTTTGTGCAATCGTTACAGTTAATTTTATACACGTAGTCCCTGGGCAAGGGATCTTTCAATAGCACCAAAACTGGGCGTAGCTTTTTCCCTTCTGAAAAGCTACTCGAGTGTTAGCTAAGTTCAGCAGTCTTCGAATAAACTCCGATGATCCTGCTTTATATGGAATGACTGCTGTGCCAATCCATTCCTTACTAGGTCTAGATACTGGAGCCAATATCTTTCTTAGTTGACGCCTAATCAAACTCACTGGGTATCCTATTTCTTGAAGTTTGTTGGCAATCTCGATTTGAGCTGCCGTTCGGTCGATCTCTTCTGTGCACAGCGCTCTAACTCGACGAAACATCAATGAGACAATACTGGCGTACACGGACTTTGGGTGTTCTGATGAATAGCTTAAGATGCTTCCTGTGTCTGTTGGTTTCTGGTAGATAATCGCTTTCAATTTCCCCCCAACCTTATGTGTTATACAGTCCAGAAAGGGTAATGTGCCCGAGGTGGACTCTATTTCCATGCTAAACTTAATGTGTGGGTTTAAACTATTGAGATAGTCGTGGAAGCTGTTCACGTTATCTCGTTTGATTACGACAAACGTGTCGTCAACATAACGCCAAAAATCAGTTTTTTAGAGGGTGACGAAATTGCAGTTGGTTCGCTTATCCACTAATTGATGCCGTTCGCCGCATGAGGACAGGAGTATGTATGCTCACCATATAGACGGGTTAATGCATTGATTGGTGACTATGCCAGTTGGAACATGTAGCTTGAGAGTTATGCACGCGGGTGACGCAAAGAATGGAGGATATATTTCGTCATGGCACCTGACGGTACCGAAGATAGCACACAAGCCACAGTTGATGTTACAATGTGACCGTCAGTTTGCCTCAGTATATGATCAACAATTATTCAGATTGGTTAGTTAGTTGAATTGAGTTGTTGCACATCTATTCATTCCCATGGTTGCTTGGGACAGCTTCAGTCAACACCATCAAGGATTCCGATGTATGTAACGCGACTGATTTCTCTTTTATCTGGGTTGTAGAACATTTACGGGCACTGAAAAGATAAGTATCAATGAGACTACAGCTCTGCCTGTGCGCAATAGTAAAATGGGCTGTTCCGTGGCATAGGTCATCCAGGCGGCGCCTATCTGACAGAAGGATTGTCACGCGGTTGGTTACGCAAAATCTGGCA